CTCCTCTACTGGACCTGATGTCTCCTCTACTGGACCTGATGATGACTCCTCTACTGGACCTCCATGAGCTTCCAGCCTCCACAGACTCACAGAAGTTGGTCTCATGTCATCTGTAAACTGCTTTGATGACCATTTGAGCTGAAAAAGCTCAAAAGCTGATTGAAAATCAAATAATGATTAATAATGAAACAGAAGCGGAGCAGATGACGTGAAGTTCCAGCTTCCTGCTGTCGGCTCCTTGACCCAGTTTGCTCCAGGCCAGCTCTGTTGCTCGTTATGGACCAACAGGTGGAAAATAAACCACGAGCTGGTTTGACTCAGAGTTCCTGCTTTCAGACTGCTGTTTGTCCTTGTGGTGGTGGTTTGTGTCCAGCTCTGCCTCTCTGTGGTCATCTTCTGTCTCATGAACCCAGGCTGTGTGTCTGCAGGTTCCACACGTCGTCCTGTTCGGCCCTGGAGGTGAAGAACGAGCCCATCCTCGGTTTCACAGATGGAAGTCCAGAGAGAGCAGAGCTGCTGAAGGTCCTTACTCACTGTGTGTTGTGTGTCTGCAGGTTGTGGTTGTTGTGTGTCTGCAGGTTGTGTTTTTATTCTGTGTGTGTGTCTGCAGGCATTGAACAGCCTGAAGGGGGCGACAGAGGAGATTCCCTGTGTGGTTGGAGACCAACATGTTTGGACCAAAGACATCAGATATCAGCTGTCGGTGAGTCGACGTCCTGCTGGACTTCCGCTGAGGTTCATCCTCAGTAANCAAGCTCCACAACATCAGTTCCTGTGGAGACCTAGCTCCACAGCATCAGTTACCATGGAGACCTAGCTCGCCAGCATCAGTTCCCATGGAGACCTAGCTCCACAGCATCAGTTACCATGGAGACCTAGCTCGCCAGCATCAGTTCCCATGGAGACCTAGCTCCACAGCATCAGTTCCCATGGAGATGTAGCCAGTTAAAAGAGAGCCTCGTCAGCTTCAGGACACTGAAAACTGACTTTATGACTGTTCATGTTCTATGAATGTTCTGTTCATGTTCTATTATTGTTGGGTTCATGTTCTGTTCTTAGTGACTAAACCCCTAGAACTCAGGCTGAATCAGCAGAAGAAACAGAGCGTCTGAAACAAAGCAGAACACAACCATCTCTGGACTGGATGACATGAAACCCGGTCCCAGCCTGGATGAGGATCTCCTGATCGCTGCTGCAGAACAACCAGTTCAGGTTCTGGACGTGAACAGAACAGCAGCTGAAGTCCAAAAGAAGGGTTCTTAGATGAACATCTGAGTTCTTCTCTAATGGGTTAAATGACAGAAGAACCCTGAAGATGAGACTCGGTTTATTCTGTAAGTCAGCGTCAGATCAGTTTGCACATAAAGACATCAGGTGAAACGCTGATCAGCACCTTTCATGACTGATCATCAGACGTTCAGACGATGTTCCAGCAGCCCATAAATACTGAAGTCAGACAGTCGCGATCCAGAACGACAGACTGCTGACGAGAAACGTCGACCAACAGAGAACCAACCATCACATCAATACGAGAACATTCAGATCTTTGTAAACCAAGAAGAACTTTATTGTAGAGCACCTTTCACAGAATAAAATCACAAAGTGCTTCACACAAGACAACATCATATGAACAGTACAGGGAACATAATGTAGATAAAAGCAAGGCAACAGAAATCCTGTCAACTAAAGCTGGTCTGAACAAATGTGTCTTCAGCTACTTGTTAAACCAATCAGCAGAGTCTGTTTCACGGAGAGACTGAGGAAGGACAAGTCACCTCTGGTTTTAAAGCGGGTCTTTGGGACCATGAGGAGGTTCTGGCCCGAGGACCGAAGGGTGTGACCAGAGGAGTAGGGCCACAGCAGATCACAGACATGTTCAGGGACCCGGCCATGCAAGGCTCTAAAAGTCAGAACTAGAACTTTAAAATCTATGAGAGTGTAATGAGGAGCCACTGCAGGGAGCAGACAACAGGCAGAGTGTGAGTCAGCATCGGAACCAATCAGCTGTTAGTTCAGGTGAGTCAGGTGTTTCCCATCATGCTTTGCACACGCTAGAAAGAACATGTAAAACCTGCAGACTGATATGAGCAGAATGAATGAGTGTCAGGAGCTGCTGCCTGGATGAGATCAGCAGTCTGAAGCTGGGTCCAGTCAGTTTCTCTCTGAAAGCTCCTCCTCGTCTCACTGAGCTCTGCTGGGTCGTCTCATGATGACGACACCTTGACAAGAGAGCTGATTGGTCAGTAGGAGGAGCCTCCAGACTCCTACCTGGAGCATGACCTGCTCTGGAGCAGCTCGGTTTCCATGGAGGTGGAAGAACCGACCCAGTGGTTCTGAAACCTAGAGTTGAGCCTGCAGTTATGTTGATCACTGGAAGTCCTTGGTAGTTCAGAGCTGCTCGTCCTCCTCCTGTCAGCGACCCGGAGCCGGTGTGAGCGCTCCGCCTGTGGTTCTGGTCACACTTGGTCTGAAACACTCGGATCAGGCTTCACAAGGAAACCTGGAACGGTGCTGTTTTGTCACTGTCAGATTCTGGTTCTGGACACTGACAGACTAGACCTGTGTTTCTGACATAGACTGTACAACAGATGGACGTAGCTGCCGTGACGTCACCCGTTGGTTTCTGCTCTGAGAACATGAAGCCAGGGTTTTGCTACTTCCTGGTTGACATCTTGGATTTTTGGAGCCAGTGACACAAAAATTTTGTGGGGGGGGGGGCGGAGCCATAGGAGCAGCGATTGGTCAGACGGATTGAGAGGCGGGCCCTCTCTGCCCGCCCACATTTACTGCCTTCTGCTCGCTTCGTCTGTATGGTCGCTGCCGACTGTCAATCAAGCCAGCCACGCCCCTTGAGCCGCAACATGTTGACGATTTTTTAAAAATTCAGTATTGATTTATTTTCAGATTGGCCACCTGATCTCTGGATCTGACCATGAAAACTAATAAGAAAACAATCCTGAGCTGTAGGAATGCAGTATTTGGTGATCTGTGATCACTTCTTTTCCAGTTCCAGTCTATGGGAGCCAGGGCTTTGTGGAGCCAGCAGCTAGTGGACGTAGTGATACTGCAGGTTTTTGACACTTTTGGGTTGGCTTCATTTTCAGGGCCGGTTGCTACGTCCATCTTTATACAGTCTATGGTTTCTGACCTGACTGTACATGTTGGACCCGCCCATCCGTCATAAACCCGTTCAGCAGGTCACAAACCCGGTCAATCAGACGCCAGAAACAAGCAGAGAGAAGAGACAGAACCAGGAGAAAACCCGCCAACAGGATTTACATCAGTTCACAGCGTGGTGCTGAAAGTCCACACGGGTCGGGCTTCAGTCTCCTCTCAATGATGACAGATCTGATCAGAACCGACCCAGCAGGTTTCTGCTGAGTCATCTACAATACAGTATTTAATCATAAATAATACTGGAACACACACACACACCTACACCCACACACACACACACACACACACACACACACACATCTATATATATCTATAACACACACACACAGTGGGTCTGAGCAGAGGGGAATTCTGGGTAATCAGTGAAACCTGACGCGCTGAACATCGTCCCCTCTCTCGGGGCCCCTGATTGGCTGACGGTCTGTGCTGCTCGCTGATTGGCCAGGGGCCGATCCGCCTGTGGACGGTTCCATCTGTGTTCCGGGGGGGTTCCGCGGAGCTGCTGGAGGAACTTTTAAAGTTCGTGTTCTGCGTGTTCGGTTCTGTTCAGCCTCGTCCAGCAAAACTCCGTCAGTTTGGTAAAGAAGTGATAAAAGCGGGTCAGCGTGACGGTAAACAGGCAGAACCGAGCCGTGACCGGCAGAACCTCCCCCGCTGAGCGAACCTCAGGATCAGCTCCGTCGAGCCTCCGTATCTGATCACTTATTGATCCGGTTATCGGCCGAATCGGAGGCTCGTTGGCTCGTTCCTCTGTCATCCGGCTCCTTATCGGCGGGAAGATGCTCCGTGTGCGCGCGGCGGTGAGCCGGTCCTGGAGGCGGTAGGTGCTCCTGTTGCCGACACGAGACTCCCGGGACACGTCCGGTAGCCTGCTAGCCTGAACCACCTGTCAGCGGGTCTCATGACCTGCAGGAGAGTCGGGTTCAACGGAACGCCTCCGTTTAGTCAGTCTGATCAATAAGCTGATCAATGATCCCATCAATGATCTGATCAAGAGTAGCGGTACTGAGCATGTATGTGTTGGTTCTGTGAGCCCGGACAGCTGGACCAGGGAGGACATTTACTTTATTACTGCTGGAAGCTTCTAGACCCACTGACAGGTCATCTTCCAGTAATCTGATTACTTCTCGGTAGAACACCAGAGTACTTCCTTTATATATTCAGTGAAACCGACCTGAGTCCAGCTGTGATGGTTCCGAAACGACCCGTGAGCTGCAGAACTTTCTCAGTTTGGACCCATAGAGAATACTGTTCTGTAAGAGGTAATCTGATTACTGTCAGTGCCATTACAGGACTGTACTCATGTAATGGAGTACTTTTACTTCACAGTACTTTTACTAAACTTTAATTCTGCAGGAAGTATTTCATCAAACGGTGGTTATTGATCCTCTGTGATCACTGATCAATAGCTTTCAGTGGTTCCACTGGTGTCCAGTTGATCAGAACCGTGACTCTGTTCAGAAACGTGTCCAACGTCTGGATGTTCAGATGAAACCAGACGGTTCCAGAAAACAGCTGATCAACGATCAATAATTAACCAGCTTAAACCAACAGAGTCCGGTTCAGGGTCACGGGCCGCTCCAGGACTTTCTGGGAAACAGCACATGTTTATCTGTGACGCCTGAAGAAACCTGAGCAGCTCCAAGTCCAAATGTTTGTTTATCTATCAGCATCCAGCAGCTGCAGTCGGATCAGAACCACACAAACAGAACAGTGTGTTGAAGGAAACATGAGAACTTCTGACCTGTACCCTGCAGGAGTCATACAGAGAGCAGCCGGATCCGACCAGAACACTGGCCTGACCAGCACGTCTCCTCCACTGGACCTGATGATGGCTCCTCTACTGGACCTGATGACTCCTCAACTGGACCTGATGTCTCCTGTACTGGACCTGATGTCTCCTGTACTGGACCTGATGTCTCCTGTACTGGGCCTGATGTCTCCTGTACTGGACCTGATGATGTCTCCTCAACTGGACCTGATGTCTCCTCTACTGGACCTGATGATGT